ATCCGCCCTGTGTGACCCCGGTAAGGTCCTGAGCTTAGCCCTTACCAATATATATTTCTACATTAAAGGAACGATAATTAAATATAATAAAAACTAAAAATAGCGAAGCGATTATCGAAAATAAAAGCCTTCTTATGGATTTCAAAACGAGGGCATCAAGCTCCGTTGATCCATTTATGATTTCCGAAAACCATTTTCTTTTTCTTTAATATGTACATATTTCAGATAATCTTTATATATTAACACAAGAACATAAATTTTCAAAATTCAAGATCATTGGAAAGGTATTTTTCTGTAGATAAGAAGAGTTTTTATGGTATTGGTTTAAAGTTCGTCGTTTAAAAATTTCCGTATAGTTGTTGTAGAAACCTGTTCAATTTGAGTTGTTAATTGAAGAGGTAAGAAGATTTATTGAAATTTGCGATAAGACTCGAAATAAATTCAGTCATAAAAAATTTAGTTATCGAAAATTATTAAGTCACCGAAATTATCGAATCAGCGATTTTTATAGTTATCGAAACGTATCGAATTATCAGAATTGATCAATGTTGATTGAGCTGTTGAATTTTACATACAAAAAAATCTAGTTGCCGAAATTTACGGATAGTTATCGGGCTATGAAAATTTATGTGATTATCGAAATTTGTGCAATTATTAAAAGTTATCAAGTTATGGATGTTCTTTGATTTATCATAATTTAAAGAATTAACGAAATTTATCGAGATATTTTAGTGCATCGAGTTCTTTGAACTTATCGATTTATCGATATTTGTTGATTTACTGAGATTTGTCGATTTATCGAATCGAAGTTTATAGAGACATCCAAATTGCATCGAATTTTCGATTTAAATATATCGTGATTTTTGAGTTGTCGAAAATTTTCAAAATTAGTCGAGTTATCGAATTTAGTTGAGTTATCGGATTTTAGTGTTTGTTAAATTAATTGGGCTATCGATATGTATCAAATTATCGAAATTTATCAATAAACTGGAATGTGTCGGATCATCTATTTCAAGTCCTGCCAAAGACATTCAAAGATATGCAATTTTTTATCACCTTTTAGTTCCTGTTTAAAAAAAAAAAACTAGAAAAACAGTCGAATTTCGACAGCGACTGGTACTCCTAGTCTTAAAGCTTAAACAGACGGCAGCGTTGATCCCGATTAACTCGGTCTTAATCCGGATCAACTGCAGTTAATTCTCGAGTTGATCCGGGTCAACGCTGCCGCTTTAATGTATATAAAATCGCTATTTTTCCTTTGGTCTGAGGAACCAAGGCCATTAGAGCAGCATTTCCAGGTTAGGAAAAAAAGCTTAAGAGATTGGTCTGTTGGTGTACTGTTTTCAAGTCATGTTTTAAACTGTTTTAAATCTACACGATTTACGAATAAACCTAAGCGGATTGTTGAGCCCCAAAGGGCTCAGGTGTTTGTCTCGCAACACATAACGTCGGGGCGGAAGCACAAAAACTGTTCCACCGTCTCAACCTCTGCAAGGCAGAAAATGGAGTTGTCATTTACGCCTATCACAGTCAGGTGTTTTACATTTCATTTCATTTCATTTCCGCCGCGTGAAATGACCAGTCAGCAGTCCAACAAGTTGTCTGCAGTCTAGTCTGCTCAATGAGGGCAAAACACTAGATAGACCTTCTGAGATCTAAGGCAACATGAATTTTGCCCACCTGCAGCTCCTCGATGCCTCCCAGTCATGGATGAATACCATCCAGATTGTAATGGTGGCTTCGATGGCCAAGGAGGAGTGCCTTAGCTGGTCCCATTACCAGGTACTCCCGAGTAAATCAAGCCCGTTGAGAATTTAGTCGAGACTTGCGTTGCCAAACTAGTGTAAAATTAGTTAGAGGGCTGGCCAAGGTCTTGAGGATTTCAAATAGCGTCGTTTCCCTAAGAACAATGTGAAGTTTGTTCCCATCAACCTGGCCCAGAGTCAGTTTCGGAGCTATCAGTAAATATTCGACAATATGCAAGTTCGGGCTCAGCGCTGAAATTATTCCAGCATTCAGCCTCAGGGAACTCCAACAAAGGTAATGGTGGCGTACTATCATGTGGCATTGAAAAAACATAAGTGCTCAGATCTCTGCCGCCAGCAGTTTCCGCCTCGCCCCACTCAGTGTTATACCAACATCCTTTTCCTTATGGTCTGCACGAGTCCTTTAAGGCTACCCCACGTATGAAGACACACTGCACTTTAATTTTTCCCTATTTATCTTTACGCCATCCGAATGGCATTATCCCTTTAACAAATGCAAGTTCATTTAACCATCCTAAGATATCCAAGAAATTTCATTTAAATTATTTTCATTTTCATTTAACAATTTTACTGGCAATTAGTTACGCTCTCTACTTATGCACCGTTAACTTAACGAAGCCGCATTATTTAGCTGCATTCGCGAAAGTAATCTACTCACTGGCGGCGATTAGTTAACAAAAGTACACTCAACTGACCGCATTGAAATAATGGCCAATTGTTATTGAGGCTCAGTAGAATTATGAATGCAATTTTTTTTTTTAAATGCAAGTATAGGAAACAAATAATAATAGTACATGTGTACATACATACAAATATATAAACATAAGTTTTGAGAACAATAATGATCAGTACAAACTGCAAATGCACCCATATATGTATTGCATTATCACCAAACTAAGAGCAAAGTATGTATGTATTTGCAATTAAAAGAGTTTACTAGGCCAATGTGTGACTGATTTGCACCTGCCAATTTCCTTTTGCCAAAAACAAATTTGACTTTCTAATAGATTTTCCTAGCATTTGGAGAAGCTCCAAGCCAATGACTGCGGAGTGAAATAAGGTCGGGGAAGTATAGTCAACGAAGCTGACCAATATTCTCAGCAAAGGAAATGTGTTAATAGTTAGTTGAAGTTTAACTTAAATTCAAGACAAGAAAAGTGGTAGTAAATGTCAATAGAGCCATAAAATTGCAACTGAAGAAATGCAATAGCATTGTTGGTACTTGGACTAATTGCTCAATAGCAATTCGAAGCGAAGTGGTAACGAAAAATGCAATAAGAGTGCTCATTTACGAGTAAAAGTGCTCGTGTGGGAACTCAATATTTATTTGTCAGTATCAATTTGCTCCATGCAAGGTAATAAATAAAAACAATTTAATTCCGAAGCTCTAAATTTTTTTTTAATTACAGTAATATAACCGAAATTCTGAGAAATTTAACGAAGAAAGTTTTAATTAAGGCAGTGCTCAATGCTATAATCACAAGAAAGGTTTATTTCAATTCCAAGCGAGTGTGTTTTAAAAAAACTAATAATCAATAAGTAGCATAAATGGAAAAGACATGGTTGTGTTTAAAAAATGCGACTATAATTTTTTTTTAATTTAAAACTTAGAGCAAAAAAATGTTTTACCTAAAACATATCGTAGCTTGCATAGGAGATTGTCGTATGCTACTTTTGGCAGGTTTTGGGAAATTGCTGTTGAAGTTTCGAATGCAATTTCTCAAACACGAGGCGATAGATTCTCTCTTGTTCAAAAAAAAAAAATCTTAAATTACACAGGGCAACACTGATTTTGTTTCCTATAATATGAAAGCGGTTTTTGGTAGACTTTTTTTGCTGATTACGAATCTGTAAGTATAAATTTTCCATCAGCTTTAGGTTTTTAGAAAAACCTGGTCAAAGTATAAAAAAATCATGTTTTTTGGAAGATTTGAGAAGCCCTAGCAAAAAGAAAACAAAAGGTGATAGAACCTTCCACTTAGGCTTAAATTAAAACTAGAACTCTCCTACTCCTTACTTCGGGACTATTGGAGGCCCGTTCGGGGCTAGTTAGGTACCAGTTCGGAAACAGTTTGGAACTTGTTTGGGGTAGTTTGGGATCAGTTCGGGACTAGTTTTGGATTATATTATATATAAAGTCCTGAACTAGTCCCAAACTAAGCCCCAAATGATCCTCAACTACTCCCCAACTTAACACTTAAACAATTTTTTCACACTGATAATTATTAAATTTTAATTAATTAAAATTATTTATTAATAAAGAAAAAACAAAATTTTTGGAGGTATTTTCAAATCGGTTTGGCTCACGTAGTTCTGAATATTTTTCCGAAATTTTTTGCTAAAAGTCTTAAAATATAATAAGTAGATTTTATAATTCCATTGGAAAAGGAGTACCGTTTTTTTGTATGGAGGGTGATGCATCTAATCTACATATTTAGTTGAATTTTTTTTTAATGTTTTTTTTTAATAAACTGCCAAGTTTTATTATTACTTGCGGCTGAGGGAATATTCATATCTACAATATTAACTAGTGGGTGAAAGGGGATGAGGTGAGATGAGGTGGTTTAAGGTGAGTTGGGTTGATATAAGGTGAGTTGAGGGGAGATGAGGTGAGTTTTTATTGAGGTGCGATGAGATGAGGAGGGGAGAAATTTAATGAAAACATCTGCAGACTCTACTATTTGAATTTAATATTCGAACATGTGCCAACCCTTTTCGTTTCCACCAAAAAACTGGCCTTTTGATTGCCCCTTTCTCTTTTGAGGGTGAGAAAATTTTGTGCTCGTTTCTTAAAATGTCACACTCTTGTAAGGCAAAAAAGGCACATTCTCTGCCCTGTGAAGCTTTGTCAGGGGAGATGGTTGCTTGAAACTCAGATGGTTGTTTAAAACGACAATATTATGAAATGCGTGGGCTAGACAAGGACAAGAAGGCAAAAACATGCCCTTATGCAGGGTTGAGTGTAACATTAAACTCATTTTGCGCCGGGGAAGTGCAACATTTTTTGGAAGAAACGAAATCGCCATAGAACGTTATTGTACATTTACAGATCAGGGCTATTTAATTTTACAACTAATTTTTAAAAATCGAACGAACGATACAGTTTTAACTCATGACGTGGAGTGAAAAACTGA